AGCTGACATGTCACGGGAGGATCGCCACCGCCCAGCTGACATGTCACGGGAGGATCGCCGCCGTCCAGCTGACATGTCACGGGAGGATCGCCGCCGTCCAGCTGACAGGTGGCGCACGGATCACCGCCCCGCACTGCATTCTGCACTGTTCAGATGCATTGAACTGTCAGACGGTAGTACAATTTTTATGGTAGTCAGATGTTAAATACCGTTTCTGCCATGGGTAGACCAACGGGAGCTGGCTACCATGCCCTAGGCGATGTCCACTCTGTCAGGCCAAACATTAGCATGGGTAAGAAGCTAATTGCCTTGTTCAAGGACTTACCTCCCAGAATGTCCCAAATGCATTCCAGTGGGCTGTGGCAGCAGCTATCTGTGACCGAACTCACCGTCCCGGACGGGGTGCCAGTCGAGGCTGCAGCACAGGCCGTGCCCCTCGGGTCCGTAGCGGCCCCAGCCGAGCAGCGGGCAGGCAGACCAGAACGCGGACCACGCGTACACGCCCAGCAGCAGCCGCACCGGCGTGTGCGGGTGGTTGAGGCTCGCTGTCGGAGCCACGGGCCCGTCATCAGCCACTGTGACAAAAGCACCGCAGCAAAAGGTGCCACGGAGACCAAAATGTTGTTGCCAAAGTCTCGAATGAGACCGGCATCCTACACACATTAAGTCCGCTGCCATACTTAAGATATGTACTTTCGCACGTTTCGCTCCCAAAATATTTAATTTGGACTATATATGATATTTAATTTGGTAAGTGCTTTGATTTTAATGCATGATATTTCATTTTATTTTTATTTTTTACACATGATATTAATTTTATGATATTTAATTTAATATCTGATATTTAATTGCAATGGACTGCGTTCAGCCGCGGCATCGGCGGTGCTGGCGGCCGCGGCGAGCAGTTTGTGTCGTGGACGGAGCCTGAGCGTAGCCGGTCGTCTGACGCGCCTCACCGCAGCACGGACACCGTCCCATAAGAACGGGTAACCATGCCGGCGGACGGCGCACTCGATGCCAGCACTCGGATGATCCGCTCAGCGACTTAGGTTATTAAGGTGGAGACACCGCCACCTGCCAAATGACTGCGGTCGTGGGTGCGACCTTTGCGCTATACGGCAGGACGCAGGTTCACAGCGCGGTGGCGCGGCGCCACAACTACACGTGAAGGCACTCGATTCTGACCAGTTGTGTAACGAGGAGATTATCGAACACTCACCGGTGAACAGCCAACAAGCCTTGATGTACCGGATGATGGAGATCGAGACCAAGGATGATATGTTGACAAGACCGAAGAAGAATGAGATCGCGCCATGAAAAGTGCACCCTGCAACAAAGTACGTCGAAATAGGCGCACATGTCATGCAGCAGAACATGCGAGTGTCCACAGCGATATGAGAACCAAACACGGCCTACGCCCTTACATCTCCACCACATAAGTTATGAGCAATTGGATCCCTCTACTCCAACACTAAAACCATCGTCCATGTGTGATTGTCACGAATGACCTGTCGAAAATCCTAAGCGTCAAGCGAAGATAAATTTTTAAAGCCATACGTTTCAGCGCACCGTAAAAATTCTCGCTCCACCTTGAATTATGGACACTTTTCCTCTTTAGAGTCAAGAACAAGCCATGAATGCGCGCGAATGGCCAGGAAGTATTATCTCCATACAGTATCGAAATTTTTGAACTAAAGCAAATCTAAACATAATTACGTCTTTCTTGCACTCAAGCAAATTGTGCGGCAAAACACCGCTTTGCGCAACACAAGCACTCAAAATCAGTTCAGTGATATCACCTTCCTATGGCATACTGGAAAATATCGTGTGAGCGTATCCCATCCAAACATATGATTGGGCTGCATTCCACACTGACGCGATTTTGATCAGCAATGAAGCAGGACAAATGCCTACCTGTCAGGTTATCCCACCACCTTCTGTACATAATGTATGCCATTTACACTGCAATCGTTGTGGAAATTCCTCTAAACATATCATGTCTTCGAGTGACGGATGCCTCCACACACATGAGCCACAAGTGTCATATCCAGCAGTAGAGTACCTCCTTTTCTCAGCGTGCTGATAACCGATATTCAGAGTTCACTGATCCCAACGGCAATCTAGACAGACCATTTCGTTCAGGGTAAAAAGTCTTCGACCTGGAGGACACTGATGGCATCACAAATCAAGTAAAAACATACCACCGATTCTGGCAGTGCGTGTTCTGTAAACTGGCCTGATAATAGTTTGGAACGTTGACCATGGGGTGAATGCGTCCGGAACATACCGAGAGCGAAAATGCAACACGTTTTTGGCCTTACATCAGCTAAGATCACCTGAGGTAGATACTGCAACGCATTTTTTGGTCTTAGTTTGACGTGATACACACATGCACACATACACACAGACACACACACACACACACACACACACACACACACACACACACACACACACACACACACACACACACACACACACACACACACACACACACACACACACACACACACACACACACACACACACACACACACACACACACACACACACATACACACACACACACACATATATATATATATATATATATATATATATATATATATATATATATATATATAGGCCACCTCAGGTAAATAACCCAACATAACCATTGGTCGCTGCTTGAAGTGATGCCTGCTTGCAAACTAACATTGTTACAGAGTTCGAATACTGGACGAAAATTGCCCTACGTCACCGATAATATCGCTCATTTTTTTCGTGACATCGTCAAAGGTCAAAGGTTCGAAAACAGCTTTAAGTGGTCCGATGGTAATAGATTAGCTATTGAATAAAGCTCTAAATTCATCGGTTGGCCGCTTGAACCGGCTGTCTGAAGAACTTAAGTCTATTTGTGTACGTATGATATTTATGACGAGAAAATAAGCAAGTCAGTAAGAATGACGTTTCCGGTTGGCCTTATAATGTCAATGTTAAATGGCATAAGGTGTCCCCTAAATTTAAATTTCCACACAGACACCTTAGATGTGCATTTGAGCGCATCAGTATTTAAGCTACCGTGAACTTTGCTTTGGCAATCAAGGCCGATAGGGAGACCTGACCTCAGTAACTCCAGTGACCTGGGGGGCTGAAGTCGTTTTGCTTTAGCGTTTTAGTATACTTGTTAGCCGCCTGCAGTCTTGCAGCCTCGGCCGTTTTTTTGCTCGCTTAATATGCTCAGCCTGAGAAAAGGCCCGAGCATCCGAGCAAGCCAAAAATCCAAGTTCGACCATATTCGTGTAGCTCTCGGCGATTAAACGCCGGAAGTCTGCCGCTTAGCTGCAAACTTGATGAGCCATAATGCCAGAATCCTGTTTAACGGCAAGCTCTTCCCATCTCTCGAAGAGGGCACCGGCTCAGAGCCTTCTACAGTGCTCATCCACTCCTTGGACGGCACGGCCAGATAAGCGTAGCTCAGGGCCTACAACCAAGAGCTGGAGACAACTTCCATGCCAGGACCAGGGTTATGCGAAGACTGCCGGCCCAACGAAAGGTGAACGGCACGGAGCTGGACAGCGATGCGGCCAGCAACATAAGACATGAGGCATCACACGCTAGACGCATATTAACGCATTCTATATTGCACCTCTGGCCATTCTGGTCCATCGTTTAAGATAGAACGCAAGGCAAAATGACAAAAATCATTGCGAAAGACACATGTATACGAACTAAAGGCATGCATTCATGCATGGCTAATCTACATTCATACAAGTTCAAGGTATGCTTGCATGCGGACCTTAATCATATGCATACATGAACTACACTGAATCACATGTATACATGGATTACACTATATCACATACATACATGGGTTGCACTCCATTACACAATACACAAACTACACTTGGATTCACTTACCAGTACACCAAATGATACTAACTACACTACACTATACACTGCAAGGGGGCGCAATGGCCGAGTGGTTAGCACCCTGGACTCCCGCGCAATGGCCGAGTGGTTAGCACCCTGGACTCCCGCGTGGGTGCTTGGGTTCGAATCTCGATAGCCTGATGTCCGCTGAGCGCTGATATGGTCAGTGCACTCACTGACACTTCATAAAGGGCTGCTTAACGACACGCGTCGTGTTCCATTAAGAAGAAAGCCTACGCTTTGCGCAAGCTAAGTAGTGGCAGGGTCCTGCCGCATGTACCGCTTTAAAGCCCGTCCAAAGGCACTGATTAGGAGGTACCTCAGCTTCGGCGACAGTGCAGTGTGCAGCACGGCCACCCGGCGATGCAAAGGCGGATTTCCCATCTCGGCACGCATTATCGTCAAGTGAAGGCTGCCGTTCTCCCTCTTTTTTGCTCACCAGTCTCGGACACCACGAACGCGCGGGCGAGCACATCCGGCTCGCCGAGGCGAAGCACTTTTTGCGCCAGCATAAGGATGCGATGGCGCACCAGTCCTCTCATGGGGTTGTGATGGCGCACCAGTCCTCCCATGAGGATGTCGTGGCACACCAGTCCTCCCATGAGGGTATGATGGCGCACCAGTCCTCCCATAAGAGTGTGATGGCGCACCAGTCCTCCCATAAGAGTGTGATGGCGCACCAGTCCTCCCATAAGAGTGTGATGGCGCACCAGTCCTCCCATGAGGGTATGATGGCGCACCAGTCCTCCCATAAGAGTGTGATGGCGCACCAGTCCTCCCATAAGAGTGTGATGGCGCACCAGTCCTCCCATAAGAGTGTGATGGCGCACCAGTCCTCCCATAAGAGTGTGATGGCGCACCAGTCCTCCCATAAGAGTGTGATGGCGCACCAGTCCTCCCATGAGGGTATGATGGCGCACCAGTCCTCCCATAAGAGTGTGATGGCGCACCAGTCCTCCAACGAGGGTGTGATGGCGCACCAGTCCTCCAACGAGGGTGTGATGGCGCACCAGTCCTCCCATAAGAGTGTGATGGCGCACCAGTCCTCCAACGAGGGTGTGATGGCACACCAGTCCTCCAGCAATTAGCCAGCCGGTGTTCTCAAGCAGCCCTGTCACACAGTCAAACTTTGTGCGGCCAAAGATGGCTTGTAACTAGTACTTAAGCACCTCTTGCAGTCCATATAACTTATGTTGGGCACCGTTTCCATGAACAACGCTGCAGTAATGGAGCTGCGAACCGGCACCATGACCAGGACGTTGACCAGCGTGTGGATCACAGAGAAAGGCAAACAGTTTCACAGATGTCACGGACCAGATGAAACTCCAAAACAGTGTTGGATAACAAGATGTACGTGGAAAATTGCATGTGGACGTGGAAAATATATCGTGGAAGTCCCATGTGAGATAATTATCTGATTATAGGCTTAAGTTCTTCGCTTCCAAGTAAGGTGAACGACATGGCCACGAAATTTAACAGCAAATTTAAGAACACTGCGCAGATTTGGACGGGCACACACACACACACACACACACACACACACACACACACACACACACACACACACACACACACACACACACACACACACACACACACACACACGCACACACACACACACACACACACACACACGCACGTCCACGCACACATACACCCATGTGCACACACACACACACACGCACACACACACACACACACACACACGCACATACAAAGCAATGGGAATTCCCAGCGTAAAGTTCAAAAGACGTGAGTGACTAGGTGGCGCAAAGCGTCGTAGAATTGTATAGGAGGCGCAGCCTACCTGCCTCCGTTCTCACGCGTATGAGAGCTAGATTAGTGTCCTGACCGGTAGAGCGAGAGCGAAGAGAGGAGTTATACTGTACCTGAGAGGCAAGAACTTGCGGATCGCCGGTAACACTTATTTTGTTAAAGCAAGATAGAGGTGTGCTTTTGATAAGGCTGACCGGCAGTAGGCCAGCCCAGCTTCTCGCGCACGTCCGAGATATAATCAAATTTGCGATCGCCGGAATCAACGCGCAGCTTACAGTGCGAGATGGCTTGGAGGCGTTATATGTTTTTCTCAGGCCCGGTGCCGTAGACGGCGAGGCAATAGCGAACGTGCAAGAGGACTCAGGCACTGACCAGGGCAGGCAGAGGGTAAGGCAGGCCTGATAACACACGTGGGATAGGCAGGTGAGGAAACCGCTGCACTCTTCGGCGAGGGCAGATACGTGAGAGTCCCAGGATAGGTGCTTTCCGAACACTCCGCCAAGGTTCCTAAACGGTGGGGCTTCACGCACTGCGTCCTCGCGGAGCCTAGCAGTGATGGGGCTCATACCTCGACAATTGACGGGAACCACAAACTAAGGGGCCGTTTGACTAGCATTTACTTTCAGACCGTGGACGTGGAACCAGATGTCCAGATACTCAAGTGTCTGTTCCATTGTGGCCATGAGCTAAGGCATGGAGTCTTTTTCCAGAAATCAAAACTTGGGTATCACCGGCGTACTGAACGACGCGCACGTCAGAGGCGCACTGATATATGTCATTGGCAAATATCTGGAAGAGCAGCGGGCCTAGAAAGGACCCTTAAAATACACCGATAGAATCGGACAGGGACTTGGAAAAGGCGTTGGTTACCACTCTGGTCAACGGTATCAGCGATGGGGTATAACCACGGAGGTGAGAAAAGAACCGCATAGCATATTTTCTCACCTCCGAATAGAGGTGAGATAAGATCATAGAGATAGAGGATAGAATAGACTTGAATGTTGAGAAGAAGCCTTGTGTAGTCGATCACATCCGAGCATTTGAAAAGATGCAGACGTCAGAAAAGATAAGTTCCTGGTGGTCAGTGGCGGCGAGGATATGGTCGGATACGGTAAGGAGTACGGTTTCAGTGAACATGCGGGAGCGAAAACCTTGGTGGGATGGGGAAAGAGGTTATTAAGAGTTATTGTGGTACAGGTAGGCATAGAACTGCTGATGTAGTGTGCTGTGGGATTTTTGCTGTAGCGAAGACGATGGAAATGGGCTGGAAGTTCGAAAGATTATATCTGTTGTTTACCCCGGCGACCTAAAGTTATAGCTGAGACTAAGGAGTTGCTTCTGGCTGAAGGTCAGCCAAAGAGCTACGGTAAGTCAGCTTGTGATACTCGGCGCAGAACAGGGGACATAGGAACAAGCTACGTTACGTTAGACCGGCTAATACTGTTCGGAATCAATGCAAGAAAAGCGCATGTAGATAAGATGGTAGTGCTAGCTTTATTCCTCATAGAAAAAAACAACAGGAGAAAAGGGAGATAGATGCTTTGATATTTCTGCAACGCGCCTTCATCAAAACGTTTTTCTACGAGAAGTAAAGCTATTACTATTGTCTTAGCTATATGCACAATGTACATCGCAAATACACTTAACAGCTTACAAGACAAACACACCCGAAATTACGTTGAGCCGGCTGATTTTGTCCGGAAGCAACTGCAAGGTAAAACACGCAACACACACCCACTCATTGTATTCACCGATAACGATACGCTAAGGTGCCGGATGTCCCCTTCATCGCAGCAGGGGTTTCCCCGCGCGGCAGGAGGCGGGCCCGCGGCTCCGTGATCAGGTTCATCAGCGGCCTGAACAGGTCGCTCCCCGGCAGTGAATGGGGAGCAGCTCTGCGCGACCTTGTCGTATTGTGTGATATAACCCAGGGGAAGCCGTAACCGGAAAAAACCCGGATTCATAAACTTAAGGGGAAAACCAGCACGCGATGTTGAATTGTGCTTAGAAAACCCTTGCAAGTAAGGAAAACCAGCACATTTTGGCCGAATTGCACCATGGCAAGACCTCTTGGCAATGAGGAAAAGCTGCTCGTTGGCAATTGAGCCGTTAGAACCCAACAACACGTACATATTTATCTGTGATTATCTAAGTTTGTTCTGTGTAAAAATCCGAGGGGAGCGCCAAGAGCACTGGGTGTGAGGCGCCGAGGTCGGTAGGCAACGTAAATGGAACTCCATGTGTTTGTTTTTGTACGTGGCGAGTATTTCACGGCAGCGTCTGTAGGTGGGACAGGTGACTATGAAATGGGTCAGCGTGCATAATGTGTGGCAGTAGTGACAGATGGGTGGTGGATTGCGTTCAGTGATGTATGCGTGAGTTAGTTTTGTGTGGCCTATACGGGGCCTAGCGAGAAGGCTCTCCTTCAGGCGCGTGCTCTGGCTTACGGAACCCCAGGGTAAGAGTGCGGGCTTGACGTGTTGGCTTGCGTACGTGCCGCCTGCCGTGCTGATCCCATTCATGCTGCAAACGGCAGCGGTATGCTGAATCCATGACCGCAACCCAATCAGACGCTGGGCGAGTGAGGTAATTACGGGCAGGCATATTGAGAGTTTGTTTCGCTGTGGCGTCAGCGAGCTCATTCTCCTGGATGCCAGTATGACCTGGCATCCAGACGAAGGCAGCGTGGTATGTACGCGGTAATGAGGACCATGTGGTACGAATTTTAGGGATTAAAGCGTGAAAAGAATTGTGCATCGCTGATAACGAGTGCAAGAAAGAGCTGGAATTGGCACAGAAGACAATTTGTTTAATTGCGAGTTTTTAGGGCAGCAAAGTGCTGAAAAGTTTGCAACTAATTCTGAAGTGTAAGCCGTGTGATGGCCTGAAAAGCGTTAGGCTGTACTACGCTGGCTGCAGATATATGCAGCTCCCGTGCAGCCATCGCCCCGTGAGTCATTGGTATATATATATATATATATATATATATATATATATATATATATATATATATATGTGTGTGTGTGTGTGTGTGTGTGTGTGTGTGTGTGTGTGTGTGTGTGTGTGTGTGTGTGTGTGTGTGTGTGTGTGTGTGTGTGTGTGTGTGTGTGTGTGTGTGTGTGTATGCGCGTGCGTGCGTGCGTGCGTGCACGCGTGCATGCCTACGTGCGTATGTATTGCGCTCATTTCTAAATTCTGTAAACAAGGACTGCGCCTCCGTATTTGTGGCGGTACGTTCTTTGCATGTAAACAGGAGCCGAATCGCTGCAGGGTTGTCCAACCTGAATGGGCGTAGCGGAGGCGTGGAGAGCATGTGTATCTTTGGGAGCTGGAATAAGTGTTGTGCTTTAGATACGCGGGTGCTGATTGTGACGTGCTTGCTGCGTTGCGTGGTGGGTGCTGTTAGTGTTCTGAAAGTGAACTGTGTGGGTTTGGCAGCTGCCCACACTTAAAACGGGAGCAAGTGTAGCTTACGTCGGTGTGCGGGTGATCGTATGTGTGCTTCCACCAGAAGGCTGGACTGCGGGAAGGTGCGGAGGGCACCCATAACTACGCGGAGAGCGACGTTTAAGGTTTTTTTAACAATTCGGTCCGAACCCTTTAAATGGATGGATGGATTTCTGGGATCAGACCTCATGCCAAGCAGTGCTTGTCGGGCGAGCCCTGATCCCTACCATCCGGTTACACAATTTCAGGCGATGGCATAATTTAGTGCCGAAAGTTTAACGTGCCGCAGTGCTCGCCACGGTCCGTCCTGCTCTCTGACGTCGTCTGACCTTAAGCGCGACCGCTGCCACCGGCCGCAGGCCATACCTGTCAAGGGCAAATTGCGAGCGCCTAAAGCAACTCGAACCCGCCACGGGTGGGTGGATCGGAAGGCAGGCGCTCTGACCAATTGAGCCATCGTGACGGACACAAGGTGGTCACAAGGTGCTAATTTTGAAGGAAGAAATACCGTAACATATAAAAGCATTGAAATCCAAAATCGGTCCAATCATGGTGATACATAGAAGGAACGGGGTGCACTTACCGAGGGCCCAACTCTAGTCCGGTAAAGCATTTTAAGATATTGGGCCGTCGGGTGCAGTGTTGCTTAGGTCGGCAAAATGGGGAGAGGAAACAAATCGGCGATCTAGAGTGATGCCGAGGTAGTGCTTATGCAGCAAACACCTCACAATCAGCGCCCGCGCATCTAAAGCACAACACTTAATTGGGTGACGAGTGGGGTAACTTGACCTGCGCACGTTCAAAGGGGCTCGAGCCTCAACAGTTACTGGCTGCCGAGAGGAGTCAAGTGCTGCTGATTTTGGTG